ACATTCTTTTGTGGCAATTATGCAAATAGTAAGTACGCTATATTTTTATTGTTAAATAGCTGTCGCCTGCGATTCCGTCTGTATGGAATTTAAAAAAAATCTTTTTAAGTAGCCTATGTGTTCTTCCAGACTATGTTCTCCATCTATGCTAAATTTCAGCGAGATCCCTGCAGCCCTTCCGAAGATAATAATAATAATTCATCCATCTAAACATTCGCATTTAAAATATTAGTAAGATATAAAATGAATTTGGCGTTTAATTACTAATATTATAAATGCGAAAGCTTAGATGGATGGATGGCTGAATGTTAGAAGGTATCTCAAAAACAGTTTTATCGATCTTGCTGAAATTTTCTACTAATTCTACTTATTGATTTTTTTTAATTCTAATTATTTTCTTTCAAAAGTTCAACGGTTTTGACATTCTAAGAAACTAAAAGTAAAAAATGCTGGAATAAAGTCTTAAATAATTAAATATTACGTGTGACATTGTCATGTCATCGTTGTGACATGCGGCCGAGTCCCGCATTCAATTCCGTAGATAATATCTTGTGATTAAAAACAAACAGATAATTATAACAACAATGTTACAATTAACTTGCGAGAGAAAGTTATTTTAAACTCATTGTTTTGTTTTAGTTCACCAATTTTATTACGAATCAGCTTGTTAAATACAACATTTTACTTCTTATTAATATTATAAATGCGAATGTTTGTTACGAGATATCTCCGAACGACTCGACAGATCTTAATAAAATTTGGAACAGATGTACAACGTAGTATAGAACACATGAGTTACTCAGTTTTTTTTATGCGGCATGGACATAGTCGTAGGCGACAGCTAGTAAGGTGAAAATGTAATAATTAAAGGTAAACTTCCACTGCGAATTAAACTATTATTATGTTAATAAAATAACAAGTATAAATAAATAACAATTATTTATTTATCAATTGATTAATTCTTTGCTTTAGCATCTGGTGGGGGCAGATGTAACTTGGCGGCGAGGTCATCGGGCACGTCCAAGTATGTGCGCTCCAACCCCACGGTGAGGATGAGGGCCCGCAGGCGGTCCACTTCTACTGCGTCACCCTCGCTCGACCACACCGTCATCGAGGAGTTCAGGGATGCTGTCTCTCGGAGAAGGTCCAGCAACACGGGCTGGCTGTTTGACGCTAGACCAGCACGCACCTAACAAACAGAAGTGTGTAAAGAAAGCAGAAAATAAACCTTTAATCGAAGGAGGAGGGAAAAGAATGCGTCCCCTTCTCCATGAATCTCTAAAAAAGAAAACGGTGGGAACGGAAAGAATATTAAATTATGCCTTAACTAAAACAAATGCGGCTCTCTGTGTATATGTAACAAAATAGTGAGAGAGTGGACTCTGACCGGGAATGTGACCGTTTGGTTCACGTGTTCGTTGACGAGACGCAGCATGGTGCCGATCTGGTCCCGACTGTATTCCCCTTCGGTGATGTTGCCGCCGTAGTTGGTCGTCCAGCCGACGGAGAGCACTGCACGCGGGTGCTTCGCCCCCAGGTTCAGGAACTTCAAGGGGTCCACGGGAGTAGTGGTTGCGTTCACTGGACCCGGTAAGATGTCTGCGTTCAACCACAGGGGGAAGGTAATCTGAAAATCATATGTTCAGTGTATGAGTTTTGGAGTTTTGCTAAAAATTTTCTGGCAAAAGTAAAGTAGGTGTCAGATTATAAACATAAAAGCCGTAGTGAAATACTAAAATTTTATAGTTTCAATATGAATTATGCGTGGTTAAATCATTTAAAAATGTATATAACGAAATTATAGTTATTGTTATCAGAGAAGAAATCAATTCATGTCCATTCATTCAATCTAGTCGCCAGCATATCTATGAAAATTCATGACTCTTTGAATTACGCTCGTTAAATAATAATTGCTTTGGGCACATTTAGGCAATTAAAATCGACCGCTGGCAACTCCTGTTCTGACATTGACAGATGTCAAGCGAACATAGCTCCTGTCACTTTGTTATAAGCACTACAATGACAATTAAATGCACTGTGTTGCTAGTTAAATAATTTTGTACTTTGGTAGCTTGTCTTATGGTTTAATATACGTTGCATTTGTTTTTCAAATAGCTAATTTAGAAATGACGAAGCGTGTGAATTGCTTGAATTATCAAAGTGTCCTTTCTATTAAAATACTTGGGAGAACTTGTCTATGCATTTTACTAATATAATTATAACGTAGTGAGAAAACATAACATTAAAAATTGTTTAATTATGGGTTAAAGAACTTTTCGATATACTACAAAATAACTACTCTATTTTACATACATAAAAACGATCAAAGAACAATTTAAATGTAATTTTAGTGCAACTTGGAAGTACACCTACTACAAACTAGACATACAGTTGTCACAGTGTCATAAAATGAACGGTTGTAAACATTGATATTAAACTATTGCAATTAAGATTGTAACTATAAATGTTATGCGTTTGTAATTGGGTTTAATGTTGTCATAAAATTACTTTTATTACTGATGTCCTTCCGAGATGTCTCGGGAACATATTTGAGAGTAATAAAAATTCTCAATCCATTGTCTACAGAAAAGATTTAGATGGCATAATTACAAAAGTTCGACTACAATCCTAAAGATACGCAGCTGCATAGATGAGTAAACACGTTGAGATATTGTAACCAAGAAATTAAAGCAACTGACTTTAAGCTGGCTGAGTTTACTTAGTCGTTTTTTCGTAATATTTTAAGGCGTGGCCATTTGGTATATTTCATCTGGTTGTTTAACACTTCGGTATCTTTTTGTCAAAAGTGCAGTAATATAATAGTTTTCTTATTTTAATAAATATGGCTTACCTCTGGCTTACTGAACTGAGCGATTTGATCCTGCGATTTCTCGAATGCTTCAATACTCTTAAAGTCGAGCTTGACGCCTTTCTGCTTTGAATTACCATTGTTATATTGAGCCACGGCGGTTAGGAAGTCACCGAGGGTGAGGTCCGAAGTAGTGGCCGGAGGGTGTGCCATAATTGGTATCGCTGGACCTTCCTTACCAGTTATGTGACCTACTACTATGTCTGCTTCTAGCATGGAGACATCGCCTGCAAGCGTACATAGTATATTAACGTTATATAAGATTTCCAGGTACATAACATAGTCTGACTACCAGAATGTCATAGGAATAGGTTCACAATGTGGGAATGATTTCTTTTTAATTTCTAAAAAAATCTTTGAAACTCTGTTGTTAAAACGTGTTTGCTGGTATTCAAAAATTCGTAAACAATTTTGCCTGAAGCTGAGAATAAATATGCTTTGCTTTGCTTTTGTATAAAATATGCATACAATTCTATGGGTAACCAAGAAGTGCTTTATAGTTATCTATGATTGCAGATACTTTTCCATCTGACTGATAATCTTGCCATATATTCTTCCTGAACTGAGTAAATCTATTGTTCAAAGTCGTATCGTTTGCGGCCGAGCTTCGAACTGCGTTCAGTTTTAACTCGTGGAGCCTAAATCTGTCACAATAATTGTTATTAATTGCTCACAGTTCTGGGAACGAGGCGTTCGACCGGCGAAAGTGGACACAGTCTGATGGAAATCAACTGTTTAACGCAGAATCATTGTTTTGTTTAGCATACACTTGTTATCCTCTCACAAAGGCTAGAATAATAAATAATCTTAACTATAATATTGGAAAACGGAGGTCTTGTGATCAAATTTATAAATTGAACGTTATATCTCTGTCAAAATATAAAATATACTGACAAAGTTAGTGTCATCATCATCATTAACTTTATTCAATAATAATGTATAGCTTTAACTATATACTCTGTGGTTCGATTTGCTTATGTAACTCGAGAACAGTCCTGCTTATAAACACAACATTGTTTCCTTACATTACACAGTTCGTTCATTGACTTGTGTGTATTTGAATCGGTGCTATTTCGTATTCTATACAGCTTAAACTATTTCAAAAGTAATCTTTGGGAACAGCCTAAAGATGCAGATGAAAGCTGGAGAATATTTAACCATAACAATTTTCCACTTACTAGCTAAAGCAGCTTCTAGATAGGTCTTATTGTTAACTGCATGGGCCCAGGTAACTGTCGTCAAGTTCTTCATTATTTCTTCTTCTGCAGCAATTTGAGTGGCTGAAAATAATATGTAACAACACTCAAAAAATTCATTTACATTTTTTTATTTTTTATTAAATTTTAACTAAGACGAATAATTATTAAAATATACAGAAGATTATTATTTGATATATCCGTTAACTACCAATTTTACTACGATAAAAACGGATTCAATTGGTAGATTTAACCATTGCATTTCTGGCAACATCGAACGCTGTCATAACAAAACATGACGCTAAACAATTTTGTCGTAAGTGTTTAATTTTAGCGTACTGTAAATATTAATCCACAAACCTTAATCGTTGTTCCAAAATGACGTAAAAGGTGAGTTTAGTGAATCAAATATTGTACTAAGGTTATAAAGAACAAAACTCTCTCACTATGAAAGTAATTTCTGCTTATTGTAATGTCAAAATAGGTACCAAAGAGTATGTATTACGTCGTAGTAGTTTGACTGATGACAGATTATAAAATGCGCGCAGTATACGAAAATGGCGCTAGTTGTATAGTTTCCAAGAAAGTATTTTTTAATGTTATTTATAGTAGAAAATAAATTTTTAAACTTAAAAATAGTAATGTTACTTTTTCTTTACCTTCAGCACGAGAATGAAATTTCCAACATGTGTAATGTAGAATATAACTGATTTGATGATTTTATGATCTAGACTTCAAAGAAAGCTGCAAATCTAGTTCGAGTCAACATAAACAAAGTGTAATAACGAAAACAACTTCCAGATGGAATATTTCTTTGATGTTTGTCTTGCGGTGATTATGAAAGTTAGATTTTAAAGTCAAATGTTTGTGGGATAAACTTTTTACATGTTTTATAAACATAGATTAAAAAGTTTTTCCATAAATCGTTATAGGTGAGACAAAATTTTATTCCTGTTCTTCTGTGTCAACCAGTTTACGTTATTGCTAAACGAAAAAATCGACGAAGGCATGGTAGGTACAAGTCTATGTTGCAACACATATCACTAATATGTTTTGGTATATTATATCTTCAACATTCACCTTTAATTTATATCAGGAAATATTCTGAATGATTTTAATTTGAATTTGAGTGGTAATGGTTAAGTTCAAAGGCGTTTCAGTTTATTTATCTGTGGCTCATTGACAGGAAAGGCAAAGGCAACGTAAACGTGCTGCCACTGAGACGTGAAACATTCGCTCTTTGCTCTTCGATGCTTATCTCATCCGGAAATTCCTCGCAAATTACCGTTGAATCATTTGTAACTATATATTATTAATTTTCTCGGACAGTCCTAACATAAAATTTTTTTTAAGTAGACATCAAAACGAGTATATTGCCACTTCAAAAATGTTATTAAGTCTTTAATTTTAATAGGCCCAAAATAATTAAAAATTACGAAAAAAGTATATTTAAAAGTTTTAACTTTATTTATATTACTTTATCTTTAATTATTTATATATTAAATAACTTACGTAAATACGTCGACACCAAAATTCGGTAACCTGTAACGACGATGAATCGTCATAAAAGTAACAGATAAATAAATCTTAAAAAAACTATTTGTCTCGTATACCTAAGATGGACTTCGTAAATTAATATATCAAAGACAGCTATATGTTTAACTAAGTACTGATATCGTAGTCCTAATTGTCCTGGAATTACAATGAAAATGTAGTGTTCCTATCATTATTCTTTGCTGCATATCTCCGAGTGAGGTTATATTTGTATCGAATGAAGTAATTTCTGTGTAGCGAGATCCAGCGGACAATCGCAATGTCCATTCATGAATTAATCCGGGGTGACATTGTTGTACCGCGACACAAATTGCTCTGGCGGTCACAATTTAAAACTATTTTATTAATATCACGATCTTTCAAGGTCAACGTTGAACTAACTTCTAATACGATTTAGTCTCTTTATAAGTTTATTCAGTCACAACCTAATGCTGTGTTTAATCGACAATTAAATGACTAAAGATGAATGAAAAGATCCTCTGGACTTTTACAAAAATGACAGAAAAAATTTAGAATTTCAAATCCATAAACACGTAAAGTAAACTCTATTTACTATATACTTCCTCTTATGATTATCGAGCTGCTACTTCATAAAGCATTTAGGAAATATTCATAGCAATTTAAACTTAGGGTCTTCTTACCACGAGATATATCAGGAAACTAATAAAACATACTATGATGTACACAAATTGTAAACTCCTAATAACTAGCTGTCGCCTGCGACTCCGTCCGCGAGTAATTATTTAGTAGACTATGTGTTCTACGACAGTGTCTATGCCAAATTTTAGCGAGATCCATGCAGCTGTTCTGGAGATACCTTCTAACAACGCATCCATACATCCAAACATTCGCATTTATAATATTAGTAAGGTGGGGATACATTTACTTGATATAATAAAAATAAAATGTAGAAATTTAATTTAAAACAATCTATTTAAGTTTAGTAGTTAAGCAAATTAAAACTACTTATTTGCAATGAAAGGAGGAAAATAGCAAAGTGATTCAACTTTACTTGGAAATACTTTGATACTTTGTATGCGTTAAGTATTTAGGTTAGATTGTACGTAATAAATAAGTAGAATTGAAATTATATATTACATCATAATATTATATAAAATAAGACGAATAAAATAAAAGAAATTGTTTCCTTAAAGTCACAAAAATTACCATATTATTTTCCTTGTTAACATATTTTATTACAACTAGCTGTCGCACTTGACTTCGTCAGCGCGGGATTAAAAAATAGGCGATTTTTACACCTACTGAATATGCATTTAACATTTCTTAAAATCAATCAAACAGTTTCAGAGTTGTATGGTAACTAACATTGTGACACGAGAATTTTATTTATATACATATAAGATATATTTTTTAAAACTAAGAAAATAATTGAAGAAAATTAAATTACTTTTATTTTCATTTATAAATCTTGAAGTACCAAAAAATTTTTAATCTAATTTTGCATTGTATTTTAAAAAGGGTGTTAATTCGTAATAATTCTATCTTTAAATTACTCGAAGAGGTTTTTTTAGGAATAGTAATAATTAAAAGATTAAAATGCGACGTACTTACCTACAACAGCCATAAGCAAATAGAAAATCATGTTGGTGGCTGAAGACGTGGCGCTTAGAAGAGCATATTCATGTCCTGGACTTGGGGCACGACAGCCGCGTCTGCGACAGGACGCGCCCCACCTGCTGATTGCTAAATTGTCCAATTGCCGGGTGACAGGTTGATTGCTTTTGATAAATTGATTTGAAGACGCACCAAGGACTGCCGAGAGGGTTACAAAGAGAGACGTTTATCTACAATACATTGTTACCCCGTGGATTTGCTCGCTTGCTTTTTAAATTAAAAAAATATGCAATTTTTTTTCTAGGTGTGATGACGGTTGATGTGTACGACAGCAGAGGACCATATACAATATAACCTCCTTCTTGGTGAAGTCGGCTAATAAGGCAATACAGTAGACCTATGTCTAGAAGTGGGCTGAAATAGTCAAGTCATCAATTCACTCAAATAGTATGCAGCTTGAATATGAATGCAGGATAATAATCCACTGAACACAAGCTCTTTTAATGACTTTATTGTTTTTTTTTAAATAAGAGAAGGGGGCAACCGAGCAGCGGGAACACTGAGGTGTTCATCGACGCCAATGGACATCAGCAATACCAGAGGAACCGCAGATGCGTTGCCGGCCTTTGAGAAATTTACGTATATGAAAGTAAACGAAATTATAGTTTGAGTAATAGCGTTGAGGTGTAGTTCATGAAAATAAGAACTATGAATAATAATAGCTTAAAATAAGTTGATACTAATGAGACAAACTTATCTGTACTTAATAACTTAATAATTGATAAAGCATTGGTAGATATTAGAATATAATTTGTTACTAATTTAATAAATCATACAACTTTACATACAAACAATAATTCAATTATTACATAGAATTGCAGTTATGCGCAGTTTATTAAAATAACTTCCAGATAATAATCCATTCTCCATACATCCATCTTTTAACATATGTCATTATGAGTTAATTAAAAGATGTACAAAATGATATATCGTATTATTTATATATGTATATAAAATATATAACATCTTCATCTTAAAGATAAGAGTTATTTGATAGGGAGATAATTTTCAATGTCTCTGACGATATAGATTTAAGATACGTATCATAGGTCCGCGCCGGACGCACCGCACGCACTTCCCACGACTTAGTTTGCTTTGGATTTGACATACCGCTACATCTATCATCCGCGTCACTCGCATCGAAAAACAAAGGAAATCATGGGGGCTAAAGTGCATACAATGCGAAGCGATTCCATAGTGAACTGCAAAATTGTATGGAACTGACGCGAGATTTTTGAAGTTCGTTATGGAATCTCTTCGTAACGAACGCACTTTGTCTAGGGGGCCGTTTAATTCAAAGTGTCCGGCGCGGACCAATGGGCGCGTAGCTTTAAATTCATTTGACTTCACAGTAGGATAGCGTTATAGATTTTTGCTTACTAGTAGTCTTTATTATTTTAACTCGAATTTATTTACTTCGATTTTGTACTGAATAAGTTGATAAGGGTTACGCATTACACCGTCTCAACGCCACTTAATAACCTTATGAACACGTCGATCTTATTAGTCGTTGTAAGGTTCACGATATGTTGAGAAGAAATAAATCGTAAGGGGAGTGTTGGAATAGCCCTACTTCGGCGACCGGACACGGGTTAATTGTACTCTTAGTACCACAATAAATAAAACTAAGACAATATTTTATAGTAGATTTATTAATTTATTATATTAACCTTTATTATTAAAAACTTTTCTCACAAAACATATCAAAAATACAGTTTTTTTATTTCACAAACATATAAATATAGAATTCGTTCAAACGAAGCGTTACACGTAGTTTTGTTGTTTGTTTTCTTTTCCTGTTTTGGCAATATGTGGAATGTATGAATTATAAAATTTTGTTACATTGTAATAGACACAAAATATTTCAATAACGGTTGGTATTAATTTAAAATAGTATATTAGAAATCATTTTCATTTGAATAAAACTGACTATTTACGCGGCATAAACTTACAAAAATTACAAATTTAACATTTACAACATTATACATAACTAATCTAATAATTCTACAAAATATTTGTAAGAAAATTAAATGAAAATAACTTTAGAAAAAAGATTATATAGCGCCTGTCAATTATTTACGGCAATCATACAGATTATACATAAGTTGCAAATAAATTAAGGTGCTGAACAATACACTGAAAATGCACAAAGTAATTTTATTATCCTATTTATTGTAAATTATCTGAATATAAAATATTAAAAAAAACATAATCACAGCTTAAACTAAAATTCAAAAGAAAAATCATTGTATGATTTTCATGTGTCTTAATTTCTAATTTTACGTACGTTGATATTATATTTTTGTTCTGTGTAATCACACGGCACTGTTGTTAAATTAAATATAAATTAATTTAATTGTTTAATATCATATAAATGGCAATTATACATTCGAAACTATAACTACATTGTCTCATACATTTTTAAATACACACATTTTTATTTGAAAAAGAATTTAAAACATATTTCACACATGTTACTGTTGATAATAAAAATAAATGTATTTAAATGCATTTTACTAAGAAATGTGCGATAAAATAATATCTATAGGTTAATTATATATGTTTGTTCATCCTCATTTAAATTTATTTACAAAATTATAACAAATTCATAAAAATACTCCTAAAATAAACTTCCTACATCTTACTCTCGGCTTAATTTAATAATGAGAGAGCTAAATACCATAATAGTTGTAATTTGTCTAAAAATCTGAGATCCTGTCTAACTTTCAAAAATATATATATTTTTTATATCATAAGGTGGCAAACGAGCGAGCGGCCACCAGAAATCGCTGAAATAGCGAAGTGACCGTTGCCCATAGACATACGTAATTGCATATGCGTTGCCTACCTTTAATCGACGGAGGAGAGGATGCACAGAAAGAAAATATATTCCCTTTCCATGCGTCTTCTTTTCCGGAAAGTCCACTTCCACTTCCCATCCTTTCCTTATAAGAAAAAGGTGGGAAGGGAAAGAGGACTAAATTAGGCCTCCGGGACGCACGACCTTCGTCTTCTAAATAAATTTAATTACAATTTTTCATGAATTTAAAACTATACGTACTTAAAATAAAACTGGCACTTAATTAACTTTGATAAATATATGAGAAACCAAGTGATTCGGACAAAATTTTCTTTCGATACTAAATTAATAATTATTTACATAGTAACTTATGTAACTCTGGGAAAAGCGCAATCCAGTAACAATAACCAAGTAACAGTCCGAGCCGAGGCTTCTGAGGGAGCCCTCGAGTCTTGTTACTATAAACGAGGTTCAGGCTAAGCGCCATCTGCACTCGACCACCTCAAGCCTAGTGAAGCTGTAAATGCCTCTTCAAGGCAATCAGTGACTACTCAGTCACAAAAAAAAATCTGGGAAAGTTAACACAAAAAAGGCTACACATGCCTCCTTTGCCTCACTTTTGTGTTTTGAACATCTAGACGTATTATTCTATGTTTACACATAATTACTATAACTTAATATTGTCAAAATTTTTATAATTTATTACAATTATTTTTACAATATATTGGTTCTATAAAGGATTTAATTTTAACATTTCTTCTTCTTTCGGTTTCTCGGAGATCACTTCGTTGGGTCTGAAAGTAAAAAATTCACAATTATTTATGGTTAACGTAACATATTGGAATAATATTGAGAAAAAATCAATTTAAATTAAAAAGTTGTAAACTGTTCTGATCAAAAATATTGTGTAATTAATACTTGAAGTTGCAAGTTAATTCTTATTATGCCCAAATAAATACTGGTGAAATACGACGACCACACAGAAGACAGGCGTCAAGTGGAAGCAATTCCAAGTACAGTCTGATGAGCGTGTGTCCCGGAGGCTTTATTTAGTCGTCTTTCCCTTTCCACCCTTTTTCTTATAAAGAAAGGATGGGAAGTGGAAGAGGACTTTCCGGATGAGAGGATGCATGGGAAGGGAAAATATTTTCTTTCTGTATGTACATCCTCTCCTCCGTCGATTAAAGGTAGGCAACGCATATGCAATTGCGTATGTCTATGGGCAACGGTCACTTCGCTATTACAGCGATTTCAGGTGGCCTCTCGGTCGTTTGCCACTTTAAGATATAAAAAAAATATATATGTATATCATGATGCGGCATTAACAATTGAAAAGCCTGATCTATCGTTTAGAGGTCGATCATCTTTTACTCCCTCTCTCAATAACAATCCGATCAATTGTTAGGTTCAGCTTCTAGTAAATATTGGAAATGATAACTAACCTTGAATATTTAGCTTTCTTATTACAGCACAACACTTTAACAGCGAGTACGGTGAAGAAAAGAGTGATGCCGGCACAAACCGCGCCACCCCAGTCAAGGATAGCACGCACTATCCGTAATTCGGATAGCACATTGTCTTCTATGTACACCTTCTGTTCTACCCAGAAGATAGGAAACAACATCTTCGGTACTTTCTCGAATAATCTGTAAGATTAAAACCACAACTAAGAAATGCTGCATTTCAAAAATAACCTTCGTACGGTTTGAGATTTTGTTCCTAAATATAGTTTTAAGCAAAAATTATGATTAGATTAATTAAACAAGCAGTATCTCAATTAGCAAACAGATAAATATAATATTTCCAACTTACTCTATATTTTGAGTCGGTTCAATCCAGATATTGAGCTGGAATCTTGCTGACACCTCCAAAGGAATTCCCAGTTTCTAGGTAAAAAGAAAATTTTAAATTAGCACATAATTGGTGACATCGAAGAATATGTGCGAACACCACAAAAATATATAATGACAATAATAAACACGACTTTAAGGCAAGTACAAAAAAAACTCTTCTTATGATTGTTAGCTACCAGCTTTATTTGGCTTCACCATTGCATTTGCTTAGTAATATTTACCGGTTCCACAGCGAAGTAGAAGGAATGCTTTTCTGGATCAGGTTCTAGTCCGGTGACGAGTTCGAGGAGTCTGGGGTCGCCGTGCAGGAAGTGCGGCAGCGAGAGGAACGAGGGAGATCCGTAGCGGCAAGATGATACATTCATGACGCCGCCCCACGCGCACTCTCCGTTACAGAAACACGAGTTCTCCGGCGATGAAGAAGCTGTCGAAGTATACAAGATAGTGATTAAAAGGAAGAATTTTCCTACTTTATACTTGCAATATAAACAATCAGAGTGAATATTCCAGGTTAATCTATGCCCAACTCTTTCAACACAGTCTAGACTTCTTAAGACTTAACTAGGTGTTGATTACGCTTAACATTATAAACATTTAAGGGAACAAAGCTTCCTAGCTTATAAGATATATAAAGATAATAGTCCTCTATTATCTTCTTCTTCTTCGCATACTTCATTACTGAAGGTCGTGCTCGTCTTATATGCTTTTACGGATGCGTCGACTGCTGCCTCCACGCCGTCCTGTCTTCGGCTTGTCTCAGGGTAGTCGTGATATTAAGTCCCAATATACCTGCACTTGATAGGACCAGCGGGTAGATTATCAACCCCGTGACCTAGTGATACTCACAGTTGTCGAAGCTGGATTCAGTAAGCTCGTACTTGTTATACGCAAGGCTGGCGCGGACGCCGCTACCGGTGTGCTTCAGGAGCACGGTGCGGCACAGATCCGGCACGAATAGCTCCAGCCCTGACTGCTCAGATAAATCACGTGCCATGAACTCCCCCGCACTACCTGACAACTGCAACATAAGACTTTAATAAGAAATAATACTTATATGGAGGTACAAAAGGTGCAAAAGAGTCTACAAAAGGTTGGTTGAAGTTTTGTTTGGAGCTAACCTTTGAGCACTGTCCGTTGTAGAAGGGCAGATGGTCCTCGTAGTTCCACTTGAGAATCTGTCCGGGCAGCGAGCCCGCCGCGCCTCCAGCACCCGTCGACACTTCCATGTACCCGTCTGTGTCCAGCGAGTCGTTCCTCTAAAATGAAGAATAAATGATAAGTCACCTTACGAGTTCTTTCAAGTGATATAAGACTTAGTACGTGATTTACGAACGAGTAAATCAATTATTGAGTAGGAGTGTACAATATATAAATAAATATGTGTTTAATTAACCTTCCGAACAAACAAACTTAATATATATATTATATATATATATAACCTCAAAAGTACAATGTTACACTTTTTTACAAAGACATGGATTCTTACTCCTACGTACACCATAAAACAGTCCAAATTTGTCAACAGGGGGTGCGCCTCCCGTGGCGCTTGCTGGTAGATTCTTGGCCAGATCCAGCAAAGGGTCATCATAACCCTCGAACAGTAGCTCAGTAGCCAGCTTTGATATAGACACGTGATGACCGAACATAGCCAGGCCCATTGCTAAACCCTTTTGTCTAATGAAGCCCCAGTCTCTTGATCTGTAGACTGCTGACTGGAATGAGAAGAACAAAATTGTTTGAATTAAAATCGCTATATTTAATTTGTAAAATCTAAGGATGAAATATATCTCGTGTCTATTATTAAGGAGAACCTATGTCATAGTCTTTGTACAAAAAAATGGCAACAAAATTAACAGTCTAATAACTTCGGCACATTTTGGTATCTCATTGTGTTACAAAATCTTACTAATATTATAAATGCGAATGTTTGGATGGAGTGATGTTTGTTTAAAGATATCTTCAGAACGGCTGTAAATATCTCGCTCAAATTTGGCATAAATGTAGAACATAGTCTGGAAGAACATATAGGCTACTAATTAAGTTTTTTTTTAATTCCCTGCAGACGGAGTCGCGCGCGACTACTAGTCTGCTAGTCGCTTAATATTTTGTTTAATAAAAAAGTATCACGACTATTTCGTCATCGTTCATGTCAAAGTTTGCAGCAAAACAGTTCATATTACAATCCGGGATTATTTTTAGCAAAAAAATTTGAATCCCTTCAAACTAATCCAATTAGGGAACGAGATTTATATAAACTTGGCGCGAGGTCGTGACTCGTTAGTCCCTGGGTAATCCTTGAAGGTGCAGTATTACGTAACCTTTTAACGATTTTTTTAAAGGTTTTTTATTATTAACTTCAAAGGCTACATTAATTTTGATAATATGTATATTTATATTTATATATAAAATCAGAAAGTTAAACTGTGTATTATCAGTTAAAAGTATTATGTCCACAAATGGACTAACATGTCTTTTTGTCCTCTAAATCCAATTAGGCAGTAAGTAATCCGGTCAGAGTACGGCCCTTGTTACAATCAAGGCGAACTTCCAAAACAGAATTGCACGTGACTATATTTAAATATATAATAACATGTATTATAGAAGTCAAACTTTATAAATGCTAGTGTGGGCATGGGTGGGCTAAAGCATTCGTTTATCAGTCGACACCTAAAAAGAACGCGCGTAATTGCGCGCATACAAGTCGACATAAAGTTTGGATGACAATGTCCAAAGGTACTTTATATTGTTAAAAACTTTCTTTTTTATAAGAGATTTACTAATATTAAATGCATCTTTATTAAGAGATATTCTATAAAACCCTTTCTTATAACCTTTGAAGTTAGTCGAAGTCAATGTTGTATTGAAAAGACATTTGTTGTCTTTGTTTATTACAAAGAGAAGAAAGGGATAGCGATATACTCACAGCAGCAATAATGTTGAGAGTAGTGATATTGTCTTCAAGTGTACCGTTGCTCGTCTCATCGAAGTGCCAACTGCGCTGCGTGCGGTACGACACGGATCCGTTGTGTGGATGCCACGACACGTTCACGTGACGTCTATGCTCACGGAAACGATACGGACCTGGGAACAGGCTAATATTATTATTTACAGTATACGTGGAACTAGTAATTATGTGTAGCAGTTCATCTTCTTACTAATATTATGAATGCGAATGTTTAGATGGATATATGGATGTTTTTTTGAAAGTATCTCCAGAACGGCTGAATGGATCTCGCTGAAATTTGGCATAGATGTAGAACATAGACTGGAGTTACACATAGGCTACTTATTAAGTTTTTTTTTTTTAATTTTGCGCGGGCGACAGCTATATTAAAGAAAGAACATTTAAGAAATAGGTAATTAACATAGAATATAAATAAATTAAGTAACTAAACTTTTAAGGTTATTTATCAAGGTTTTATATACTTTTATAATTCGCAAGAAAGGAAATAAATGAGAATTTTAAACAAAATATATATATATTTTTGGGGGAAAATAACATATATTCACAAAAATTTTAAAAAGTAAGTATTCATTAATATTAAAATAAGTAATTAAATGACTAATTAATTAAACTACCAAAATAATACTATAAACTATATACTAAAACTAAACCAAACTAAAAATAAAACTAAATAATATAAAAAATCGATCCCAAATCGCTGCGGTCGCACGGTAGGGTTCCCAAGAGACTGGCGGCATTTCCCCGTTGGATGGCCAGGCTCAACCTTTGGCCGAAATGCGCGCCAGCCCTTGGATCAAACATGAATCAAGGAAGTAAAATTAATAAATTTTAATATAACATTTACAAAATAATTTCTTTTTCTAAAAACACGTAAACATTAAAAGTAATTTAAAAAAATATGATAATTTCTGGCGTAAACAAAAATATTAATTTTTACACAGATCGTTAAGTTTTTACGTTTTTACAGATTACGAGGATTGAATGAGATTATGTTTTTCTTCCTGGTTTACATTAAGTTAAGAAGCTTAATGAAATACATTAGTTTTCTTATGACGTATTTCAAAGTTAATAATATAAATGCGAATGTTTGAATGTTTGTTAAAAGGTATCTACAGAACGGCTTTATCACACTGTAATTTGGCACTGATGTAGAACGTAGTCTGCAAGAACACTTAAGCTATTAATTAAGTTTTTTAATTTAACGCAGAGTACGTTATTACGTAAAGTTATTACTTTCAATAATCTGTTAAAGTAAAACACTTATATGTAAACAAAAAAAAAACATTTGGTCGCATAACTTCAAGGGCGTATTCCCTTATATGGTCAGTAAGTTTTGTTTACGATTAATTTCATAATTATTGTACTCACCTACTTCCTGTAAGTTTGGTATTTCGTCAGGAAACTGATCAGCATTGGTCCAGTTGAAAAGGTAGACGTCGAAGTATAGAGGTACAGTCGGCTCAACCCATTCTCGGAATGTTCGGGATGTCGGACTCATCACCATTTGCTTGAAAAAAAAAACAAATTCGTCATAACGATATATCAATTTTTGCAACAAAACCTTTAGGTTAATATAACAAGTTAATCGTTCCTTAATTTAATCAGATATCAGCAAATAAGCTATTCGTGATATGATACTTCCCTTGAGACATACTCAAGGAATGGGTCACGCTAACTGCTCGTATTGCGATCCAATGACGTCGAGTCCCAGAGGAAAACAAGGCTTTACTAGTTAAAGAGGAAAGATTTATATTTTAGTAAGTTACGAATAAACTCAAAAATGACTGAATTTAAATATTTCTAACATCAATTTTAACCGATTTATATATCGTTCTAACAATTGTAATAAATTACCGAAGTTATTTTCTCTGAACCTTCACGTGTCTTTAAATGATCTTATATTTCTTAATCACAATTGTCAAACGGTCAAATTAGTTATTAATCAAGAGATTAACAATTGTCGTAATCAGTAATTGACCCGCGAGTCAATCGTCGCAGCTACTGTTTATGCCGAATCGATTAGAATCGATTAATTGTCAAGGTGCCCCTGGAACCGTTAAGGCCACATTACAACGGATATCTCATGTAAAACTAGCTGCAGCCCGAGACTTGGTCCGCGCGGAATTAATAAGTAGCCTATGTATTCTTCTAGACTTTGTTCTATATGTATGCCAAATTTCATCAAGATCCGTTGACCAGTTACGGAGATCATCATCATCATCAGCTCACTATACGTCCCCAGCGAGGGGCTGGGAGCCTACCCTAAGTTGAGGGTGATTAGGCCATAGTCAACAACGCTGGCCAAGTGCGGGTTTGGTTGACTTCACACATATCTTTGTATTTCTTCTTAGATATGGGCAGGTGGCATCACGATGTTTTCATTCACCGTAAGAACGTCGGATAAATGTACATATGTAAAAACACATTGGTACATGGCGGGATTCGACCCCAGGACCTGCAGATTGCAAGTCAAGTGCTTGACCCCTGAGCCACCGACGCTCTCGGAGTTACGGAGATATCTTCTAATAAACTTCCATCTTCAAATAAATATTCGCATTTATAATATTAGCAAGATTATGCAAAAGATAAATTGCAAAACAACAATATGTATTTTACGCCTAAACTATAATAGTTTGTCAAATTTTAATTTTAGATTTTTTTTGGCATCTTTTAAACTCAATAGAGCGTCGGTGGGTCAGTGGGTCAAACAACTTGACCTGCAATCTGCAGGTCCTGGGTTCGATTCCTGCCACGTTTCTTACGGTGAAGAAAAACATCGTGATGCAACCTGCATATATCTGAGAAGAAATTCAAAGATATGTGTGAAGTCAACCCGCACTTGGCCGGCGTGGTTGACTATGGCCTAATCATCCTTAACTTAGGGTAAGCTCCGAACCTCTCGGTGAGGACATTTAGTGAACTGATGATGAAAACTCATTAATTTCTTACAACATAATTATATTACTAAATATATTTACACACTATTCCAAGTATATATGTAGTTTTCTAAGAAGAAAAAAAAATTAACAATAAACAAATAAATAAATGGTAAATAATAACAGATAACTGTCAAAAATCACAGCTGTTTGCTAACAAATCATGTAACATACAATATGAATGGACATATTTTAAGATAATAAGCAAATAACTTTATGTTTTTATCTGTTATTTGTAACAAATTAAAATATCCTAAGTATATTAACTTAACAGTAAGGTTATTTTCTCATTAACATATCTATAATTTCAACATCTCTGTCAGTCGGCTCGTTGGTCTAGGGGTATGATTTTCGCTTAGGGTGCGAGAGGTCCCGGGTTCAAATCCCGGACGAGCCCAAACTTTTTGAGCAATTATTTTTTAATCATAATGAATTCTAAAAGATAAAATCCTATTGCATATTAAATATAATCTTTTTATTATTAATCTTTTCACATATTTTGATTATAATTTTATTTACACTATACAACTGATAAGAGCCTAATAATAATTGAATGTCAAATTATACATTGTATGCAGTTTTGTTTAACGCTTTTGTTCTTGTTTCATGAATATTTTAGGCAAACAAAACAATACTTTTTATTTGTATAACCGTTTGTTTGACCAAAATCTCTGTTAAATTATTCAAACTTTCGTGAGACATTATACTAAACTGATATAAAAACGGCTAAACACTGACGTATATTCGTCCGGTGGCGGCACCCACTAGTTTCGAGCCGTTCATCAGGATGAGTGGTACTGGTTTCGCGGGCGCGGCCCGTCGTTCGCTGGATGGCACCCGTTGGGCTCGAAACTAGTCGGTGCCGCCACCGGACGAATATACGTCAGTGTTTAGCCGTTATTGTATCAGTTCAAAATCTCTGTATCAAACATATCGCCATCCCTGTTTTTCTTTGACAAAACATATATATCAATATGATTTAAACTGGGATATGTTCTCAGAAAACTACGGTAAAGCGCGCTATTGTGTTAAAACTCTACATATAGATAATTGTCTAGTCTTATCGTCTTCCAACTAAAAACATCAGTGTAGGTAAAGATGACAATCAGACTTTAACTGCAAATATAACAAATTATCTTATCTTATCAGAATTAGAAAAATGTGTCATACTCATAATGTAACTTAGTTAATACTAACTATATTATATATATTGTCATCATCAGCTCGCTATACGTCCCCACCGAGGAGCTCAAAAGACAAGCACGACCTTCAATAATGAAGAATACGAAGAAGAAGACTAATAGTAACAAGCTGCTAACAAGACAAGTTAAGTTTCGTTAAATTAGACGCAACTTTTTATTGTCATTGATAAAAGTTCATTGAACTCGGTCATTAAAAGATAGTAGATAGAAAAAAAAACTATGGCAGGAAATAAAAGGAACAAACTAAAAGTTATATTGTTACTATTTCAACTGATATCTTACTAATATTCAAGTTGCGAATGTTTAGATGGATGGATGTTTGCATCGGCTGAACGCATCTCGATGAAATTCGCATAAAACATAGCCTGGAAGAACACGTAGGCTACTAATTATGGTTTTTTTTAATTAATTCCGCACGTACGAAGTCGCAGGCGAACGCTAGTTTTGTTTATAATTTTAGAAAACTTTCCTCAAAGACCCCTACGACAATCCAACTCAGTCGGTAGGAAACCATATAGTAACACTTTTGGGAAATACGGAGTAAATTTTCAAGTACATTGATGATATTTATATTAATCTTGAAAACTATTGAATTCTTACTGGCACTTAGAAATTACTATATAACAGTCTTGATAACAGCTATGTTAAACTAGAGCTACTCGTATGTGTGTCGATATGAAAAATCTATCTCCCAGATAAGATTATGTGAAAACTTTATCTATATTTAATAATATTACGTGACAAGACAGTGCGACTCGTTAGATGATATAACTACATACATCTAAAGACATGTAACCTAACCTCGTAATCGTTAGCAAAAAGTGTGTCGAAATAAAAGGACTCTTAGACCTTTTGTTGGGGTTTTCCTCGGTGTCAGTTAACGAAACTCGATCTTTAAATCTATTCATCTATAACTCTTTTCGTCTGATAGATTGAGTGGTGGTACCGGAAATTTATCCAAGCTTCTAACCTATTAATATGACTGCCATATTTTACTTTAGATGAATACAGGATCGAAATTTATATGATTTTTTTATGTCATCTGTTAAGGAGAACCAATGGCCTTTTGCCACATGCGATCTTAAAAACACACTTAAATACAAAAATAAAACTCTGCTATAAAGCCCAATTCACATACATATAGTATATACTTACAGCGCTGAGAGCAGCATCAAAGATCTGATTCCAGGCGAGGGCTGCGCCCAGGGCGGCAGCGGCCAACAAGGCGGCCGTGGCGCCGACCGCCAGCCGGCCGCGCGGGGGCCTGCCGCGCATGGCGCTCCGCCCCCCAACAACGCAGACCCTGGACACAACAGACAATCGTCAGTATTATGCTCAGACCTAGATAAAAACTACCTACCGTTTAATAACAACTCCTTAGTGAAGAATTAAGGGAACAACAGGGTTACAGCCGCGGCTTCTTTACATAATGAACCAGCAACCAGTTGCGTTATTAATTGCTAAATAGAAAAATTGTTTAAGACTTAAAGTCACTAGAATGCGACGTTAAAGTTTAAGTTAAGATGTATCTTTAGAAATGTGGCCTCACAGGCCCACATTGGTAACAAAAGGTTAATACGTAACACAAATAAATTTTAACTTCAAGGCCTAACAAATGTATAATTAAAATACATAACATAAGTATGTATGTGTGTATAACAAATATTTGAACACAAAAGACTGTGTACATTACACATTCTCAGTTCGTAGTCGATTACATCTGATGAATTAATTATATAATAGTATTTAAGCGCTATTGAATTCGTATGAAACTGATACTGCATTATAAAATTCGAAGGTTTTTCCTGCTTAGGGTACGTTCACAGGGAGTAGCAGAGTTGGGCCGCGGACGAGAGCGAAAGCGTGCCCGTGGTCCCGTCCCGATGCGTTGGAGGAACAGAGGGGTTTAGTGGGTATGCCTCCGCTATGGAGGAGAATCCCACATAACTACCGCGTCCCCCCCCCGGGGCGCGGAGTATGCATAAAGCATTCCCCTCTGGAAAAAAAGGGAGTAGCAGATTTTATATTGCAAATAAAATTGAGCTTTACACAATAGGAATAAGGTTTAATTTTACTTTTCACGTTGCACTTGCTCTCCGCCTCAGTCTGTGAACGGACCCTTATTCGTTTTCTCTAGCGAAGTTATAAACGATACAAAGTAAATTAAACAATTAGTTATCATATTTAACACATTAGATTTTAAGCTAATATTTGCTTAAATCTGAGAAGAAATTAAAGATAGATAAGATTAAGCTGTCAATAGCCTAATGGTTAAGGATACGGATTTCCGATCACGAGGTCGGGGGTTCGAATCCCGACATTCGACTATTGTCGTAAACCATATCCTAGCACAAGCTCTATAGCTTAGTTGGAATGGTGGCATATATATACATGTGAAGTCAACTCGCACTGGGCCAGCGTGGTTGATTATAGCCTAGTCACCCCTAATTTAGGGCTAATAATGATGATGATGATTGGCCTATAGCTAGCGTTTTGCTCTCAATTTCTCGACTCCTAAATTCCTTAATAAATAACGATGTATTAGCCTGCCTGTATCGTATAGTTATTAAAGTATTGAAGCGATATCGGACATAAGTACATAAGTGTAATAAATATTATGTAAATTAAATTCAATTACGACGCGATACCTCGATATCGCTTTTCTCCTTATGTTTATATTATTACAAAGTATCGTAATATTTTGAACACAATCATACTGAGGTTTGGGTTTCTTGAATAAGTGACACTTACAAACATTTTGTCATAAATTAATCAAGAAATTCAATCGTATAAATGAATGTTTGTTTGAAGGTATCTCCGGAACGGCTCAACGGATTCTGATGATATTTGTCATAGTCTGTAAGAACACATAGGCTATTACGTTTTTTAATTCCGTGCGGGTGGATCCGAGTACGACAGCTAGTGTTAAATAAACAGATTTCAAACACTGTATAAAAGCAAAACTCTGCTCTTTCGCTGACAATTTATTAAATAATAATGCAAATAATTAATTCTCAAACTATTTATATTTTATAGTTCATTATACTCGGATTTCGTTAAAATTACAACCTGTTAATATCGCGACGACCGTTGATGTGTACGTTAAAAAACGTGTGCTTATCTATAAGTGCATTCATTAATAACAGGCGATACGTCCACACTAGTGATAAGAGGGGCATTAAAGTAAGAGGTCGTGGACCTGTCGTGTAACAAAACTTCCTAGTATTCTATGGTGACTACAAACTAAGCATCGTGTTACTAATTAAAATAATTACACTCACATGCAGACAGATATAAGTGTTTATGTCCTGGGTAATCGAAGAATAGAACACGATCTTAGGTTTTCACACGAGGGCTGAAGAGGCAGCGGTCAAACAATAACATTATCAACTCTTCTGTCCATGTGTGATACGAGCGTTAAGGTCGGTTTGTACCTTAAGATTAGTGTATAAGATACTAGCTGTCGCCCGCGACTCTGTCCGCGCGAAATTTTAAATATTAGCAGCCAATGTGTTCTTCCAGACTATGTTTTATATGTACGCCAAATATCAGCTAGATCCATGAAATCCTTCTAGAGATTCCTTTGAAGGTTTTGGAAGGATGTTTGAACAAACATCCATCCATCCATCTAAACATTCGCATTTATAGTATTAGTAAGATTTGGTTACGTTAATACTTTGCTTAGTGTAGCGACACTTGATGTAACTACGACAATACTTTAGCGATCTTAGTTTTGTAGTATTCGGTTGGACATCAAACACAACGAAGAAAAGGAACTACGCGACAAGTAAAGTACATTCAATGTGTTTGTTGATGTAGTGACTCAAACGAAGGTTCGGTATTGCGTCGCAAAAGTATGTGTCATAGGGGACTTAAAAACAATGCGAATGTAGGTATTCAGCCAATGCCATTGGCCCAAAGGTTCGGCAAACAACGATGTCGCGGCACACAAATCTATGATTATTTTTAAACTAGGCGTCGCCCGCGAATCCGTCCACGCGCATTTAAAATAAGCGTAATAAACCTATGTGTCCTTCAAGACTATGTTTTACATCTATGCCAATCAAATCCGTTGAGCCGTTCCGGAGATACCTACAAACATCCATCCATCTAAACATTCGCATTTATGATATAATAAGATGAATTAAATCAAACATTTAATCTCTTTACTAGCTAAAAAAACATTGTCTGACCGCAGAATGTCGTATTTGTTTACAAGATTACAAGGTCACGTAAAGACGCTAGTGTCTCCCTGTGGGTTTACAGCACACTTTTGTATATTAAATGAGATTGGATATTGTCTGAGTATGCGTCCCTTAGCGATACATACAGACAGAAACTACCAAGGGATTTGCCATGAATATACAATCATAATATGTATAATGACTCTATCAATGTTATATGCTACACAACAAAACGAATAGAAAAGAAATAAGTTTCCATAACAATGTATGATCTATACTTATATTATAAAGCGGAAGAGTTTGTTTGTTTGTTTGTTTAAACGCGCTAATCTCCGGAATTACTGGACCGATATGAAAAATTATTTTTTTGTTGGCTAGTCCATTTATAGAGGAAGGCTTTAGGCTATATAACGTTACGCTGCGACTAATAGTTCTTTTTAATTCCGAGCGGACGATGTCGCGGGCGACAGCTAGTTAAACAATAAAAAGACAATATTCCTATAGCAGTTCTAGAATAGTAGAATAAAATAACATATAAAACGTCTATCAATAAATAAAAGATTAAATACATATGTCGAGCAATAATTCAGACTCGCATAATCATTACAAAAAAGGTAAAATGTAAATTTACGAAAACGAACGTTATACATGTTTCCTTATTTGGTACTCTGGGTGTCAATTAATGGACAATAAATACTCATTAGTTATGCTGAGATATAGACCCGACTTACAAAGAGGTCTGTCTCCTTAGTCAAACGAAAAAGTGTTTCGGTATACTTGTTAATTTTTACAAAAGGGTAATATTTTTCCTGGGTAAGTCTATTTTTACGTATAAGTACCTGTGTGATGACCGATAGCCTAAAATACTGATCAGATTTGACGCCTGAGGTCTTATTCGATTCGTTATTTTTGATCTGTCATGAGGTATCCATATTAAACCGGCACAAAACTTTTAAAAAACTAAATTCTATATTAGTGAATGTCGAGTTCAAATCAGTCTCCACAATTTTTTTTTAAATTGCTAATTTTTTTTATGTTTTCCAATATATTCTGAAATAGAAAAGTGTTTTATGTTAAATTGTTGTTTATTTAACTTAAATTAAAATAAAATCGGTGTTTTAAAAAACGGCCAATAGATGGCGCTACAATAAACTAAAGTCAGTAGGGATTTTATTATTATTTTAAGGTTAAGTTATTATAGCAGTAATGCTATATTTATCATAACTTCGCAAGGCTTTCCTCTTACAACTGTTCATAAGAGAAGCCTTGTAAAGTTAAAAGTTGTAACCAAAAGTTTTTATAAGAGAAAAAATTAATTAACAAAGTTCAATAACTTTTATTAATCAGTAAATGATAGCAACTATCTTTGTCTAACATTCTTTAAAGACATAAATATTATTACTTTATAACGAGTTTTCAACTGTCACAATACCTGTATTCAAACATATTTACATCTCTTTCTTTTAAATGAAAACGATAGAGAAGACAATATGTTTTTATACAAACGTATTGAGAGTGGAAAGTTTCACAATTTTTATGATTGTTAAAAAAATTAGCGCGACGCGCGGTTAGTCACCACGTGTCTGCATCTTTGTAAACAAAATACGCATCGAAAATTAAAATTTGTGACTCATCCATTGATGCATTGGTTGCACGTGTCGCGCACAAGTTCAAGGACACTACGCAATATGCAACACATATACAAACACACTAACTTGTTGATCGCAAGCGCCAATACGCAATTGATAATTTAAGAATCATTTGGACCTACTTTAAATAGAATAAATGCCGGATTGATTAACACAGCGTTCTCAAGATACCCAAAATAACTAGAATTAAATAGTTTACTTTGTAAAAATAAATAAATTATCGAACTAAACTGAAATCTACTACTTTATAATTTTTTACTTACTTTTGCCTACGGGGTCAGATTAGGTCTATATGTTAAACAGTAGAAAGAAAGTAGTCATTCCTTATTTAAAGGGAATGCTTGTCAAATATGTCAATTTTTTATTAAAATTCTGTCAAATTGTTTATGAGGTTTATGAATCTAAAGCGATCGTAGTATTAGTTTATATATATGTTTGACATTTATTTGTTTCTCTAAGACTTTAGAAGG